GACCCGTCCGGCCCGGCCCGAGCGCTCGCCGTTCTGGGCTGGTCGCTGCCTCCTGCCGCACTACGGACGACTCCCGGCCAGGCCCCGCGGCCCCTACCCGGCGCTGCCCTTCTTGCTTTACCTACTTGGGCTTGGGGCGATAGTCTGGGCCAGGACGAAGTTACCCCTAGGAAGTGCGGGGGGAAAGACGCCTCTGAGGGGAAGAGATCCTAGTCGCGGAGGTGTGCAAGCACGTGCACGAGCCTAAGTGGCACGGTGAATGTCCACGTCCCTGGGAAAGCCAGACTCAGTGGGGAAACCGAGTTCGAGTCCCACATGTCCGCCAACATTTGCCTGATTAATGTCAGGTCTCCAGGAGCCTGTTCCTTCTTAGGAAGGTTCGACCAACAAGCCATGTTGGGAAGACGCGAAATAATCCAGATGAAGTGTCAACTCCTGCTCCTTGTACTTACAAAGTGGTAATCAGGTGATAAGACCTCTTAGGTGATTTTGTTTTATCGTTAAAAACCAAGGGCTCTTGAAAAGGTAAATTTCGGTTCAATTCTCCCTCCACCTCTTGCACACTGGGAAACCTTGAACAGGACAGAGCCAGCCTTGATTTCTAAATCTACATGGGGGGAGTGGCAGTAATACCTCACAGGGTTAAGGTGAGCTTTCAGGAGATGAGGCACATGTCTCTGAGCACAATGCCTAGTACACACCAAGCTCTCCAAGCTTCACTGGTATAATTCCAGCTCTATCCTTCCAAGACTCTTAAAAAGTTTAATGACAGGGGCTCTGCTCCCAAATCCTGTGGCATAATTAGCTGGGAGGGGGTTCACTCAACCCTGGGGCTGGAGGGACTGTTACTTCCCAAATCTTTGCTTTCCATTCTCTGCCCCAAACCTCTCTAAAAACCCAAAACTTGGCACAAAAACAACAGTAGAGAATGTTTTCCCTACTTAAAAAAAAAGTGTCCAAGAGTCTCTCGGAGTTTGTAAATGTTTGAATTTATTAGTCTGGCCTTTTCCAGAAACAAGTGATTGGAGAAGGGGAGAAGGTGGGAAACACCTGGAGTAAAACAATAAAGGGAATAAAGTCCAGGGGCAGTATCTCACTTCAGGCATAGCTGGATCCAGGTGCTCCAAATAACCTCAGTCTTTATACAGTCTCTCAGCTCTGCATCCCTCTGTGATGCCTTCACTCATGCATTTCTCTCCACAAAGTGTCTTGGGCATCTCCTAGGTCATATCTGACTAGAAAAGCAGGAGCTGAATCCCAGTAATTCCAGCCAGTCTCAAGTTGACTTTCATTGCACCCATTTGGGTCACATTCATCTGCCTGAGCCAATTACAACAAGATTGGCCAGATCTGGCTAAAAGGAGTCCTTCTAGTAAGAGAACAGGGTCAGCCCCCACCAGAAGGACGTGGGGTAAGGGCAAGTGAAAGAAGGGATGCCTCTCCCAGAAAAATAGGGCTATAATTACCACAAGAGGCATCAGGTTCAGGATTGATACAGGTAAGAGCCGTCCACTACACCAACATCTAGGCACAGCAGGTCCACTATAGAGCAACACATCCGTTCTTCCAAAGGGAATGGCAATTAATTCAGTCACTGTGTAATGCCCCTCTACCTCTGCTCCCACCACCCACCCAGGCCTGGCATCCCCCAAATCTGTTTTATCAAAGGCATCTCAATTAACCACCCATCTTATATGCCCCCAAAAAGCTGAACAGATAATGTTACTTCCCTGCTAAAGAACTTTCTATGGCTCCCTCTGGATACTTATGTGACCCTCCCACCTTTAATGATGGAAGCCAACATTGATGGATCCCTTCCTTACCAGGCACTTTAAATGAAATTTCCACTCTTGAATTCTTATAAACACCATATTAATTCAGTACTCTTATTGAGCCCATTTAACAGCTAAGGAAATAAAAGCTTAGCAATTTGAAGTAATTTGTCCAAAGCCAAAGTCAGGAAGTACAGAGAGCCCAGATTAGCACAATATTGTGTCTACCACTAACACTGCCATCCTAGCATCATTTGCTCATGTTTAATAAAAGTCCTCTGCCCAACTGCAGCTGGGTAGTCAGGGGAAAGAGCTCTAACAAGGAATGAGACTAGGGAACCCCTCCAGCTTCTACAGTGGGGGGCAGGCAGACACTGAGATTTATCATCTCCCCCTCCCCCTATGACTTCATGTGATAGGGAAAGAATTCCCCCAAAAGGAAGTTGGACTGTGAGATTAGGAAGAGGAAGGGATGCTGGGTGGCCCAAATCGGCAGCTGATGACCACCTACCATTGGTGAGTATATTGGTTTCCTATGGCTGCTGAAACAAATTACCACAAATTGGGTGGCTTAAAACATCACATATTTATTCTCTTACAGTTCTGCAGGTCAGAAATCAGATTAGTTTCATTTGGCTAAAGTCAAGGTGTAACGTAAAGGACTGGTTCCTGCAGAGAGCTCTGAGGGGCCTTGCTTTTTGTCAGCTTCCAGTGGCTGCCTGTATTCCTTGGCTTGTGGCCCCTTCCACTGTTTTCAAAGAACACCACTCCATCTCTTCTGACTCTGACTCTTCCTGTGCCTCTTAAAAGAAACATTGTGATGACATTGGGCCACCTAGATAAAATGGGATAATCTTCCTATCTCATGATTCTTCACTTAATTACACCTGCAAAGTCCCTTTTGCCATGTAAAGGAACATATTCATAAATTCTGGGAATAAAGCTGGGAACATGTTTGGAGACCATTATTCACCCTACCACAGTAGGTATAATCAGAGGGAGCTGATACGAAGTACTTGGGAAACAGAGAAGGGCTGGCTGACTCTGCCCCAAGAGGGAAAAATGCCCTAAGAAACCACAGCCTTCACATTAAATATTCAAATGAGCTAAAACCCATTTAACTTGGCAATCTCAGCCTCATTCCTTTAAGTATGCAAACCACCTAACTCCCCATCTAGCCCTCAGCAGACCAGCCAAGCCTCAGAATGCTCGCTTGCACACCCTTCTAATGGAAGTTGCCAACCACCACCCTCAGTGCCTGGGGCATCAGCTGTGTGCCCCCACCCTACCCTGGCTGCTCACTAGTGGCATCTGAACCAAAGCACTCAACTCATGGCATGGTCAGCAAGCTACAATGTGGCTTCACGTCAACCAGCCAAAGTTACAAGAGAAGCAAAATCAGTGGGTCAGAAAAAGACGAGACAGCTATTGGATCTGCCTAGACTCCTGATGACTCCCATCCTCAGCTATCTGTAATGTTGAAACAAATCCCCCTTTCCATGAAGTAATTTGAATGTGCCTTTGTTCCTTTGTTCCCAACTTCCACATGGGGTTGTACCCACTTACCCTGATTGAACAAACTGGCACTCAAGATTTAGACATCAGTCTCATGTGAATTTTGTCAATGTGAGTCAACATCCATGAGTCTGACTGAATATGGGACTAAGGAGATGAGGAACATGAATTTGAGTCAGAAAGCCCTGGTTTAGGTCCCAGCTCTGCCACTTCTTAGCTGGGTGACAATGGATAAGTCATTTTACTCCTTCAGCCTGGGCTCCTCACCTATAACCTGAGGGTGATCAGAGGACCTTGCACATAGAATCACTGAGGACTAGACAAGACCAACCTAGGAAAGGGCTTTACACAGGGCATCCTCAGTCATCATTGGGTCAACATGACATGTTCACATGCCTTATCTGCATTTCCAAAATCTGAACAGCTCTGAAACTGTAGCGTCCTCTATAACTCATGTGACAGAAAAGACTGACCTGAGGGGACAAGAGGTTACTTAAAGTTTTCCTTGTCCTTTTCCTGTGGATATTTGTTGCAGAAATATTGAAGTGTTTGGCTCAGCTGGGTATTATGTATAACATAGTCAATGTGCCTGGTCCTCTTGCTAAAATCAAGAAGTTTTAAAATTTTGCACCTCATCTGGCCCTTTGGTTTCAGGGACTATGAGAGTGAGAATGTGACTCTAAAGCTGGCCCGTGGTATATGCACCAAGGTACCTACCATCTAGTGAGGAGGGAGGCAGCCAGTCTCTACAAACCCCACTGCGACTCACTGTGCCCTTTTCCCTGCAACTTTCTGAGTGGCCTTTAGAATCTGTACACAGCTCACCAAGCTGCCTGGTTACAGCCAAGGTGGAGCACCAGACAAAAGGCATATAACAACTTCAAAGACATACACACTGAAGGTATGTAAGGGCTGACCTACAGGCAGAAGCATGAAGCCCAGGTTCCATTAGGTTCTGAATTCTGTATCAATGATTGTGAAAAAGCAATTGTTCCCATCATGAAAATACAAAATATATACAGCAGATTTAAACAAAATGACAGCACGGTTCAAGAAGGCACATTTCTTCCGTGGCCAACCAGTATTCACGAGACAGCCGCACACACAGCCAGGCGCTTTGTGGTGTCGGCGTCCCCTGCTTCCCCTTCGTGGAGCCGCTTTCGACTTGTGGATGACTAGAAGTAAAAGAAAAGGGAGAAGTGTTCAAAGAAAACCTTTGGCTTCTTTCCAATGGTCAAAGTTTCCCAATGTGCTTCCAGGAAATTTGAAGCATTTCATGGGAAACTTCGAGGACTGAAAACTACTGGTTGTCCTCATTGAATCTGAATCACTACCTCACCCCTCCAGACTCAGACACACTGATTGAACTGACATTTCTCTCCATTGTGGCTTCCGACCACTCAGTGATGTATACTGAAAGCCTGCAGCATAACCAGCTTTCTCTTGGTTGTCTTCTCTTAAATTATGAAATTTAAAGGGACCACAATACCTTTCACTCAAGTCTTGCTCTTTTGTGGGAAGACAATCTTTTTCATGTCTTTGTTTTCCCACTTATAAAATTTCAAGGGAGCAGTAGGAAGAGGCGTGTTACTAAAAGAAGGCAGGATAGGAATGAACAGATATTAACTGACACAAAGAACTTTAGAGGGATAAACTTATAATCAATAAATTAGCTACCACTCCCCCAAATGTAAAAATTTTCAACAAATTCAGTCTTCTGCCCCTAATTCAGTCTTCTAATCTTTGCCTTGCAGGAAACTTCTTGAATGACAAACCCTAGCTGTGCTCTTTCATTAGTGAATCTTCTAAAGGTACTGGAGCAGATCAAGGTGAAACAAAGTATCTATTAGGTTATTTCTTACAAAAATTGTTAAGCAACTGCTGCTAAAGAGATTATTCAAACTCGTCCTCCACTCATTGGCTCTTTAAACTTAGCCTACAGTTAATGACCATCATGCAGGATACCTGGGCTGGGACCTGGGGCAGAGCTGTTGACTTATCTTCTTCAAAAAGCAAATTCTTAAATTTTCTCTTCATGTCCTCATCCTGTGAAGAAATGAAAAACGTAAGTAGGCTGTGTCTGAGGGGAAGAAAGCTCCTGAAAAGCAGGGATAGGATGCCCCCAGAAACAGGGAAGTGGGCTAAAACGTCCAGGCTGTCCACACAGAAGCTGCCCTCACTGAAGCTCCAGAAGGGCGAAGACCACGTGTTTCCAATCTCTGCCTTTCCAGAACAGTCTAATCAGCAGTCCACGCTCAGTCACCAATGGCTGAACCAAACCCATATGCCTAACAGCTCTCAGTGGGTCAGACAGAACCACAGACCTTAGCAGTCAAAGACTTTCAGAACCAGCATCCCACCCAGATTCTAAGAGATGGCAATCAGGGGGGCCAGAGGCTGGGGCTGACTCCATGCTGCTCCCCAGACCTTTCCAGGTGTCTCCCCTTCCCCTGCCAACAGTGAGGCCAGCTACTTGGGCCACTCTAACAAAGCAACCTTGCACCCTAGGAAATTTCACTCAGCAAGCACTGTACAAGTTGCCAGAAGGACCACAATATCTCAGAGCTAATGAGAAAGGTAAGAAAAGGGGGTAGGGGTAGGGTTATAGCTCAGTGGTAGAGTGCATGCTCAGCATGCATGAGGTCCTAGGTTCAATCCCCAGTGCCTCCATTAAGGGGGAAAAAAAAAAAAAAAAAAGACAAGTGAACAGGCCATAGGACAAGTGAACAGGCCATAGCATTACAGGTGATTCTTGGGCGGGAGGTGGTAATGGGGGTTGGGAGAAGGATAACACAAAGAACTCCTGTCCAGATGTGTATGAGGATAACTCCCACCTCCATGGCTATTCACTTCTGCTGGGCTCAAAGTTCTGCATCTGGGAGCCTCGAGAGGTGATCTGGTGAACCTCTCCCACCTTCATTAAGGTGAAACATCCATGATGAGAGTTGTGGGCTTTGTGGCCAGCACACCCACTCCCAAGTAGCATGTGCAGAATACAGACCCAGAGCAAATCCCCTTGCACTTTCCCACCCAACCCCCACTCCACTCCTCCAGTTATGCAAGTACACCACGGAGGATGGGGTGAAAGGACATAGGAGTGAAGGCCTTCAACATTCAACAATTTCATAGATGTAGAAAAACTACAGTGCTCAAGGATTAATTCACCTGTTCTAGATCTAGTAGCTAGAAACACCTGCTTTCCTCATGCCATTTACTGCATCACTCAGTGTTGCTCCCCACTACTCATTATGGAAGCGCCAAGTTCATCTGGATTCCACTCCACTCTCTCCCCTTGGATCTCACTCCTCAGGCAATGCCACTGGCTCACAGCCTCCCCCAGGAATGCCCTCCAGGCCTTCCTGCCCAACCACCTCACCCACCTTCCTCATTCACTTAGTGAACAAATATTTCGTGAAGACCCTTAGATGCCAGGCATTGTAATAAGAACAGGGGCCTCCATACCAAAGAGTCTCCATCAATGTTGAAAATGCTATCCCCGTTGTTACGGCAACTGAATTGGGGTTGTTATGACTGAACTGCGTGAGTTATGTCTGAATTGTGGACCTCCCCCCGCCCGCATTTGTATGTTGCAGCCCAAACCCCAGTATTTGGAGACAGGGCCTTTTTAAACAGGTAATTAAGTTAAAATGAGGCTGTTAGGATAGGGCCCTAATCCATTATGGCCGGTGTCCTCATAAAAAGAGAAAAAGACACCAGGGATGTGAGCATACAGAGAAAAAACCAAGTGAGGACCCAGAAAGAAGGCAGCCACCTGCAATGCAAGGAAAGAGACCTCTTGGGAAACCAAACATGCCTGCACCTTGAAACTGGATTTCCAGCCCCTAGAACTGCGAGAAAATAAATTTCTGTTGTTTGAGCCACCCAGTCTGTGATAAACTGTTATAGCAGCCTTAGCAAACTGATACAGCCATGTCGGCCCCAAGCCACTCAGCCTTTGGATGCTCTTCATACCATGTGAACCTTTGGGCACCCCCCCCCATAAGGCAGTGGCTCCATCTCATCCCGGGGATCCCCCATATTCTGTACCTGCCCCTATTACTACAGGTATCCCACTGCTCTGTTGTCAGGGTTGGCCCCTCCACCCCGACTGTGTATCCACAGTGCCTAACAGTGCTTGACACATGAGCTCCTTCACTGTCCTCTGAAAGAATGAATGAACTCATGAAGAAAGGAAACCATGCAGCCAAACAGAACTGACCACAAGTCATCAGTAGGGAGGCGGGGGTGGCGCAGGGGTAGAGTGCATGCTTAGCATGCAAGAGGTCCTGGGTTCAATCGCCAGTACCTCCATTAAAAAATAATAATAATGATTTTTTAAAGTCATCAATAAGCAATAATATGAAAAAAAGAGCTCATTACATACCACAGGTAGAATGTGTATCTGTAAATACTCTTCCCTGGAGATGTCTACAATCTATTAAAAAGTATTACGCTATAATATACCTCCAAGTTAAGCCAGAAGGAATCCTCTATTTCAGGAAATGAACAAGAGGCCAAAGATGGATATAAAGTTTGCTCCCCAGATTGGATGCTGTCAGTGACAAAACAGAGATCAGAACTCACATTCCAAATACTCAGTCCAGTGCTAGGCTCACAAAGCCATTTGGTCTCTTCAAAAGCACTGAATTTTCCCAAAATAAAACGTAAGCTACCACTAGCCAATGACTTCTGTGGGCATCTGCATCCCTGTCCTCACTGAATGTTCACTCTACCTTTTGCTGCAAAAATAAGATGTGGGCAGAAGAGTATTCAGGTGAGACCTCATGGCAGGGTTAAAAGTCACCTTTTCCTTGGTTGTTAACAATAGTTTTGAGACAAAAAGTACAAGAAAAATAGGCTATGCTTGTTTGTACATTTCAGGCAGATGTAAATCCCATTCCCAGGCCCTAACTAGCAAGCTCTGTTTTTCTCTCAAGACTAACACAGCTCCTCTACCTCCATATCTGGCCCCCAAGAGTTTGCCTATTAAGGCTCATGAAAAGAGCCAAGAGGCATGTTTTTCCTTTTCATCAAAATTAAGTCCCCACATGCAAAGGCACCCTTTGTTTCCAAATTCCTTTTCTCCGGGGTCCTGCAGTTTCAAATCTGTGTGGTCTATTAAGTGCTAAATCACCTGACAGATCTTTTCTGGGGAGACTGCTGTTTCCAGGGCAACATCCCAAACACATATATCTACCCTTTTTTTTTTTTCTTTTAAGGATTTATTGTTCTCAGCCTGAGCTGACCTGAGCAGAACTGTGAGGTGTGGAGGGTTGGAACAGAGAAAGAATGACAGTCTTCCCAGAGTCCCAGAAGCACAGTGCTGAGACTGGATGGCCCAAGTTGTTCCTGGACTAGAAATTCCCAGAGCATTTGGGCCTCCAACTCAAGATACCTGGTTAAGTCCACCATCCCCACAGGAAACAGAGACAAAATCAAAGTTAATGGAAAGGGGAATTATGTTGTGCTGAAAGGAACCTCACTTAATAGAAGACCTGGCTTCCATCAGAAAACCTGCCCAAGGCTGCAGTGAACCTAAAATCAAAGACTAGCCCAGCAAAGCCACAAAGGACTTCCAACTCTGGCAGCTTGAATGAGGTCAGCGCATAATCTAATGGCAGCCACAGCCCCCAGCAGAGACACAGAAGCAATGCAGACTTGAAAGGCGCAGGTTACTCACAGTGAACAAGAATTAGGACTCCTTGTGCCCCATCACTTGGGGTGCTCTCCTCCTCTACCCCCACTTCCCTGATCTGAGGTTGAAGATAGCTGGAACACAGCCCATCCTGCCTGTCTTGGGTAGGAGTTTGAGGGACAAGAAGGACACAGCTGGTGGTGGACGTTTGGAGCTAGAACAAGGTCTCAAAGGAACACGGCTGAACTGCAGACTCAAGAAAGACAAGTGGAACCAAGACAGGCCATAAAATGAGCTTGTCCATCCAAGAATGTTAAGTCAGGTTGTAAAGGTTGCACACAAACACACACAAAGACACACCCACACTCACACCCACACACACACACACACACACACACACCCCCAAAGCTCAATCTTTAATTTAATTAAACAGACCCTACAAAGCAAATGTTATGTTTCCATCCTCTTCCCCATCTCTCAGGCACAGCTCAGGGCCGCCGAGGTACCTTAGGCTGGCAGGCACTGCCCCACACACACCTGAAGCCACGGGTGTCTTAAAGCTTCTTCTGTCGTGAAACGCACCTTCGGATCCACAACCAACAACTTCTTGACGAGGTCCAGAGCTAAAGCAGTAAGATAATTTGGCATCACCGTGAGAAGGATGAAGACATTAAAATCAATGAAATTAAAGTGTGCCAGAACCACAAGCCAACATCCAGAAAGAGGAGAGGCTGAGGTCATTGTGAAGCAGCAGGCACAACAGGCAGGGCCCCCCAATCCCACCCCCTACCACCCTCTTCATTTGTCCGAGTGCTCTAGAACACCAGGAGTGGCCGCCAGGCTCCCCATCACTCCTTGCTCGGACATCACAATCTCTAAGCTCTCTGTTCCTGCTCTTGTTGCTGGACTCCAGTTCAAACTAATTAAAGTTGAACTTCCCCCTAGTTCTAAAACACTCAGGATGTTCGGCCAACTCTCTCCCAAGCCCCGCGGAGTGATAGTGAAAGTTCCTCAGCCAGGGAGAGGCTCCTTGGAATTGCAGGCTTGGCAAAAACAAAGCAACAAGTGGAGGCTGGCTTGTATATTACAACAATATTATTTCTTAGACACTCTGACACTTAACACAATCACCTATGTTACACTGTTTGACATTTAGTTTCAGTTTTCTACTTTTTCTTTTCAGGATTACAAAGGTACCCTCTTAAATTCTAAAACACAAAGTAACTACATTTAGCTCTGATGATGCTTATTTATCCCAAGGAGACCTTGTAACTAAAAAGGTGTCCTTATTTGCACACTTACATAGATACAAGGAGTATGTTACACTTAACCCTCACAAAAAGCCCTCAAGGCAGGGGTTTATTGTACCCTCTTTTACAAATAAAGGAAATGGAGACCCAGAGAGGTTAAGTAACTTGCCTAAAGCCACAGAACTATAAGGAGGAGACCCAGGACAAAAGCCTACGTACATCAGCCCATCAGCCCACATTCCTAATAACTTCCTTTGCCTCTCAAATGGTGCAAACTAACAACAGAAAATAAGAACAGAACTGACAGGAGAAAATATCAGAGATTTGTAAAGAAACTCCCACCATGGCACACACACAGTTTAACAAACCACAAATTCTTAACCCTTTTGTATCCATACCCTTCTCTGAAACCTCCGCCCAGACTTCAGGAATGAAGTTGTATTTTCCACTGGTGATCTGATCCTTCAGTGACACTTGAGTCTTATGTTCAGAGAAAGGTGGATACCCACTAAGGCTTAATGTTGGTAGACAAAGAAAGGGAAAGAAATTAAGTGGAATTCTCAGTGATGTTCGGATATACAGATTTATTTTTCAGCATAATGAAAAATTAGGTGTTGCTTTAAATCAATGGTCAAAAAAGTGACTTAAATTAAACACAAACTCTCCACCTGGACATGTTTCTGATTTCACCTAATTACTTGCAACCAGAATCTGAAACAATGAAAAATTTTCTTACCAAATGAAAAGAATAACTCCTAAACTCCAGCAGTCCACAGCATGGTTATATCCAGCAGTCCCAAAGGAATTAAGAACCTCAGGAGCCAGGTAGGTGGGGGTACCACATAAGGTTCTCATGAGAGAGGTCTCCCCCAAAATCTTAGACTGCCCAAAATCAGTAATCTAAAATTAAGAACAAAAGGAAATTGTTTTAAATGATGTCGTAAAGAGTAACATAGTGTACCAGTCCCAAAAGACATGCAGGTTGGAACAGTTCCTAACCTATGGTTCACAAGCTACTGTTAATCTGGAATCTACAAATTCATGTCTTTGTAAAGAAATTCTAAACTCTGCAAGTTATTTAATTTTTAAATGAAAATTCCTGAGCCAAGGAACTTCAAGGTCCAGGTTTTCTCCCAACTTACATGTGTTCTCTGTAACCTTACAAAAGGCTTATAACCCTTATCAGACACTTTAGAATTCCAATTAGTTATTCCTGGTTCTTCTTAGATCCCAATTTCTTTGAGTCACACTGTAATACCTGAAAAAACACTCACACCTGGGTGCCACCTTCAGAGACTCTGAGGTGTAGCCTTGGTGTCATTTGGTTTTGGTTTTGCTTTTTTAAAATCAACAGTGGATCCTAAAATGAAACCAGGCTTGGAAAGTACTGTCTTAGAGGAAGACTGAGGAAGTTTCTCCCATGTAGACTTCTTCCTGCTTCTGAAGAGCAGTGGATTGTACTCAGTGGAGCTCAATAAATGCTCATTAGTATCTGGTTTGGAGCAATACCACCAGATAGTTAAAGAACTGGTAAGAGTGGAAAGGTCAAATTCTCTACCTTTCTATGCTCTCACTTTTTACCTGATGAATTTTAAAAGTTTCTGAACAGAAATCTACTAGAGTGGCCAGATACAGAATATATATTTCTTACCTTTATAAGACAGTCCTCTTTCTGAGACGAGAGTAGAACATTCTCTGGCTTTAGGTCCCGATGAATAATGCCATTTTCGTGAAGGTACTACATAGAAATGGAGGCGCGGCCCTTAGATTTATGGAGTAGGTATGTGAGTGGAGACATACACACATCTCACAGCCAGATGAAAGTATCAGCCGTATGACTCACAACCCTATTTCCCAAATCAGAGGAAACTACTGGGTAAATGGATTAGTATTTATAAATTTGTTTTCAAGAAAATTTTTGAAAAGTAGAAAAGTGAAAAAAGCAATTTATGACAGTTAATGTCACTCTTCAAGATAATAAATATCCCTTTACATTCACAGAAATAAAAGGTATAAATTTCAATAACAAAAAATGTAAGTGGCAGATGTAAAATATTTTGAGACCATATTAAAGTAACCTATAAAACTTCCACCAAAGTAGTATATTTGGTTATTTAATCCTGAGAATACTTTTTAAAGGGACTCCGTAAAGTACATATATGTAACTTATCTATTTGAACACCTGGAGTTAACATAATCCTTGATGCACAGATTAGTCTTTGAAAACTCAACAGCTGAAATAGAACATTGATGTTTATGTGTTCATTTCTGTATAGTAAGTCATATTTCTCTAGGGAAAAAAAAATTGCCACTCCACTAATCTGCACTCAACTCATGTTAATATTCTTGGTGTAGTACAAGAGGGAATAAACCATTAAGAGAGTAAAGTCCTCTTTAGGTGTTTATGGGCTTCAGCTTTCCCTGGATGTCCCTCTGGCCTAAAGCAAAAAACCTCCAAAACACTTCCTCTAGGAAAGGAACCTGGTGAAGCCCCCAGGGTGGGCACCAGTAGACCAGCCCCAGGAACATCTTCCTCAGTCCTCACTCCCTGCAAGAGCTGTTCCCAATCACCGCACTTCTTGCACAGAGTAGGTTTTCAAGGTAAGAAACCTGGGCAGGGACTCACCACAGCCAAAGATGGGTTGAGAAAGGGTGATGTTCTCCTAAGCAGACGACACTTGCCCCAAATATTGAAGAGAAGGCAGCACACATGCAGTTAACAGGATGGTGCAAGTGGAGGAAACACTAAACACTGGGCCCCGGGGGACCTGCCAACCTTACCCTCCTACCTGCCCCGCTCCCGCCCTGAGAGATAAGGTGGATTTCTTCAAGGATCAGGTAGAAGTAGAAATCAATGCCCCTCCAGAAATACCTCCAAGCTACAGAGAGGCCATGTGGACCATGTGTGTTTATTTCTTTAACTTCCAATTTTTTTTTTAACTCTCCTAAGTTTCACAGCAAGAGCTTTCTCATCTGAGTCAAAGAGGTGGGATGTTTTTGCCAAAAACAGAACAACCCATACACAGACTCTGCTCTCTGGTCCCTGGTTTTCTGTTTGACTTGGGAGAATAATTCACCTGAAAGAAAGTAGGTTGTCCAAAGAACCGAGGGCATCTCTTACCTGGACAGCCAGGAGCATCTGGTAAAAATAGAGTTTGCACGTAGCTTCTTTCAGGCGTTTATTCCCCACCACCCTGTCAAACAGCTCTCCTCCTTCCATCCTGAAACACAAAGCCAAAGCAGGGGGTTCATTCCTGGAGGGAAACTCACTTGGATGGAAGATAGTAACACAAACAAAACAAACTCATTAAGACAAGCAAAGTGTTTATTCACTCTTGACTCTCATTTGTAAAGGCAATGAGGTAATAAGTCCGTCCACAATAAGACATCCCTGCCAGTAACCAAGGAGGGAGAGTGGGGTGGGCACTGGAGACACTTCAGGAGCTTTCAAATATCGGACTCAGTAGATCGGAGGCTGGGCCCAGGAGTCTGCATTTTTATTGTGCACCCCACTGGTTCTGAGACTGATGGAGAGGAGAAAGCAGAAGTCTACACTCCAATAACCAGGGTCTAAACCCCAGCTCCACCAGCTCCCAGCTGTGGGACTTTGGACAAGCTATGCAACCTCCCTGAGCTTGTTTCTACCTCTTCAAAAAAATGGGGATAAAATCCCACCTACCTTGATGTCTGTTGTAAAACTTAAGATATAGTTGATGTAGGTAAAGTACCTGGCACAGCGGAGAGGCTTGGCAAGATTATTCAATCCCTCTGCAATTCAGTTCCCATTTCTGTCAAGTGGAGCTAAAAACAGTAACTCACCAGTAACTTGCAAGTACCCAGGATGACTGTTATGAAGGTTAAATGAGTCAATCCATGTAAAGCACTTTGAATAGTACTTGGCTCATATTAAGTGCTTAATCAGTTACTGTTATTGTATTATTATTAAACTTTTAACTAGATCCAATCAGATATAATATCGTAGTATTATTATTATTATTCCTACTATTATTTAACTGTTTTAACTAGATCCAATCAGATAACTGTTTTAACTAGATCCAAATCTCCTATTTAATAGCAACAGATATTCTGTTAAGCACTACAAGGATCGTCGAGGCTCCCCTAGTGCTACGACTGGGGCTGCTGTTTATAATCTTAATGGTCCACCAGTATACCTACTGTTTGCCCCTCAGGACCAAAGCCTTGCCTCTCTGCCATGACAGCCGTTCCCAGAAACACTGCATCTTTATGCAGGAACAGACAACAAGACAGGCCTCTTTCAGGGATGAGACAGGAAATTCTTTTAAACACACCCAATAAACCTGCAAGTAAACCAGCACCCAAAAGATATTCCGTTGTCACCATGCATGCGTACTGTGATTCTGAGCAGCAAGGGTTACCCAGACCGATTATTTCAGAGTAACGAGAGGCACCTGGGGTTGAGCACCTAGTTTGCCAGGCGCTTTGCTGGGGGCTTTACACCCCTCACAGCATAAAATCCTTATCACTCTGTGCATGGGGGTATTATTATCTCCCCTACTTAATACTAGAAATATGAGGCTCAGAGAGGTGAACTGAACTAACCCATGGGCAGTCAGTCGCCAGCAGAGTAGGAGTCAAACCCAGGCCTCTGGAACCTCTGAATCACCTGCCTTTGGAAACCCTGGGGGATTTTAGAATTGATATGAACCCTCCACACACACTTTGTGGGCCCCCACCACATACATGAGTTGAGGGTCCCCAGGATGAGAAATGCAAGCCAGCACGAGATTCTTTGGTGGCTTATAAGCATTTAAATGGGAACACATCAACAAACCGTTTACTACTTACAATTCCAAAACAATGTAATAATCTTCAGCATCAAAAAAGTCTTTAATCTTGATGATACAAGGCTGCAAAGGGGGAAAAAAGAGGAAAAGTAGTGAGACGCTCCCCAAGAGGAAAACCACAAAAGCAAAACTCGGGACAACTACCCAGAGGGTCAGGGCGGCCAGGACAAAGCATTTCGACCCCTGTCTCAGGACACCCTGAAGTTCATGCAGGGGAGGAGACAGAACACAGCTCAGCTGGCTCCTTAATGAGAACATACAAGAAACTCCCTACCCCACCAGGCTGGCAAGGGAGCGGTTTATGTTTCGCATACAAGGCTGGCACCAAGGAAGGAAGGCCAGTCTCTTCCCAGCCTTCCTCCTTGCTGCCCCAGGGCACAAGTACTCAAGGTTACCTAAGGAACCTGGGGAGCCTGACAAGTGGCAGGAGGAAAGGAAGCGGGCCGGGTGGGGAGCCCAGCCATGCTGCCAGACAGCAGGGCTATTCAGCTCCAGGCAGCTGGCACACAGAGGAATGGGGACCCCATGATTTTGAAAAAAGAGCCTCCATTTTTCCAGGGAAGAGGGAAATTCCAGTTTCATAAGCACATCTGTGGCAGACACACACACCTGTGGCTGGTAGTGTGTGATCAATGCTGGGTGCATTCGCTGAAGAAAGGGAGAACAGCACTGTACAGATCCAAACATATTTAATAGTATGATTTTATACTTGGAAAACACACCTGTTGTTTTTGTAGCACCAACAACAGGCAGTAAAGCTAGTGGTCCGGGTACACAAAAGATGTGGTGAGATGTGGTGGGACAATACCCACCCAGCAGAGAAAAGGATATGGTTATGTCAGAATTAAAGGGAAGAGAGATACAAGATTTTTAGATTACAGATGAAAAAGAATAGCAAAACTTGCCAGAGTGATATTCCTACAAAGCAGATTTCATCACTTTCATCATCCTGATCCTCCACATGGTACCTTCCCCTGATGAGCTATTAGACAACAGTGAATGAATGCCCCACTGCGTCCCCCAGCACAGTGGATCTCAGAAACATAATGCCCAGTAGAAAAGGCAAGGCTTGAAAGACTTCAAAGAATATGAAGTAGATTCAATTGTATGATCAAGTTTTCATTCTTAAAATGATGGCAAATTCAAAGGTGTTAATTTTATTGGTGTGCCTTGCAATCTACATGTGTCAAATTTATATAATTGTAAGTTATTTAAAGGAAGGAAGGGAGGAGAGCAATTGAGGAGGGAAAGAAGGACAGCAAGAACAAAGAAATCCTTTAGCTCCTTGCTGCCTAGAGACTAACACCCAAATTCTCAGGAAGGATTAGCAAGCCCTTCGAGACCTAGACTCTTCCTGCCCCAACCCACCAACCCAGCCTCATCTCCTGCTGCTGGTCCCATACATCTTACTCTCCAGACTGCAAAACTCCTCGCCTGCCCCAGACTCTCTCCCAGTGTCACATCTTTGCTCACACTACCCATCTCAGGCCTGGTGATCCAGTCTTCTGGGCATACTTGGCCTCAGATATCAAGCCTCAGCTCAAATGTCCCCCTTGGAATTTAGGTGAACACTTCCTGCAGCGGTTCTAATCTGTGCTGCCCCACAACCCAGATCAGGTAGAGAAAGGAAACTGACACCCACCAAGGATCTCCTTTCACCAGGTACTGCATGGGCTGAGTCAAGTCTTATTTATCTTTCTAGGACCAACACTCAGCATAGTAGCTAGCACACAGGAGACACTCGTATGCTGCCCAGATTCATACCATCAACATCAATAACACACACACACCACCCACTGAGGGTAGGCTCTGCACCAGCCGCATTTTGGTCATAGTATATACAGCCAAGGCGGTCAGACTAAGGGCAAACCATTTCCACCTCTCCTTACCTATGATCATACTATACTTGGCTCTGCATAACCATTTTTATTTCACAATAATGAAAATACTGAGTATGAATTGCAGTATTATATTAAGAGGAATGGGAAAGAAAGAAGAGCTAAAATTCTCATATAATATCACAGGAAGGCAGCAAGATATTATGGATAAACCAAGAGACTGCAGTTTATGTATATTATGTAGAAATATGGAGGTAAATTCTTTTAAAGAAAGCTAAAAGTTTTTAAATGTTTGCAAAGAGAGAGATTAGGAAGGAGGTGGAGCTGCTATTTAAAAACCTTTTAGCACTGTCCAACTCTGGATGTATACATGTGGTATCTTGACAAAATAAAAGGAAAAGAATATGAAAACGAATATATATGTATGTATATGCATGACTGGGACATTGTGCTGTACACCAGAAATTGACACACTGTAACTGTACTTCAATTTTTAAAAAATTTAAAAAAAAAAAGGAAAAGAAGAAAAGACACATACATGGAATAGGAACAGGAGATGAGAAGAAGAAATGGAAACTGCTTGGTCCACTTGGTTTCATCAGGCAGTGCCAGTGCCCGTCCAAAAATGGGTAGGGCTGGGAGCTGACAGCACAAAGAGGACCCACTAGTTAGAGCCAACACATCTGTCTCCAGTCCCCACTATCTCCAAGGCCATATAGGCTGGAGCTGTCACAGCTGAAAGTGTCTCCCAGAAATAAGACGTCACCAAACCAGAAACCTCCACTTCAGACCTACAGGGAAAAGGGGAGGGAATTACCGATCACCGCCATTCTGAGTGTGTTTCCTGTGCTGAGAGCTTTCGGAGCACATCTCATCCAAAGCTCCCACGGACCTCTGGTAAGTATCCTATTGTCTCCATCATACAGATGAGGGAACAGAGGGTCTGAAAAGTGAAATGACCTGCTCAGAGCCAAGGGGTGATAGAGTGGGATGGGAACCCAGGTTTGTCTGTCACTAAAGTCACACAGGAGGAAGGATGGCCACGTCCATTTGTGCTCCCTGTCCCAAGACCTAGGAAACAGGCTGGCACAATGAATAGCCCCCACTTGTCTGAACCAGTGCCTGATTCCAAAGGCCGAGGTCTAACTGACTTTACTAGGTGCTATTCATTGTCCCCGAACATCAAAATGCACTCATGAGCCCATATGGAATTCCCAAAACCTTCCAAGTCCCCTTGTAAATTGCCAACAAATACTTCCAAGGATCTTTTTAAAATTCCTCTCATATTCGATTTGTATACATGTTATGTTTGGGGATCTTCTGACATCAGAGAAAATCCTCTGAGGATTCTTAGTGTTTATCTTAGGGGGGGGGTGTAAGAAGTAACTCCACCTCAGAAAATAAGAGGGCCCCTCTCTTTAACAAGAGATTCCAGATCTGTTGGGGAAAGGGGGCACATTCAGGGAAGAGAGAGAAGTTGCAAGGGAATTAGAAGAAAGCCAAGCAGGAAGGTCGATCTCTGGGATTCTTGTGGGTCTTCAGAGCCACCTGGAAAGCTAAAGGAAACTACTGAATTATTGCGTCCATGTGATTTTGTTCTTAGGGGGACCTCGGCAGGTGGGAGAAGGGAGAAGAAACCTTTTGTCGTTTGGAAGTTAAGAACCAAAGCAGATCATCCTTGGCAGAGCAGACCAGAGGTCTTATTTTAAGTTGAACTCCAGTCCTACGTAGCTCATGACTTCATGGTGACCCATGAACTAACAGAGAAATGGAAAGAACAATAAAAAGGAAGATGAGACCAGTCCCACTACTCTTTCTCTTCTCACATCTTTAGAGACTTTCCACTGAGACAAGGTCATCACTGCACCAAAAAGACAGGAACTATTTATACTCAGTGAGGCCACAGACACCACTTAATCTACCAGGATGCTGTCATACTTCTTGGATACCCATGTATTTATTTGATATACTTGAATTGAAATGACTGTAAATTAGCATCAGCAAGAGGTATTTAGAGGTGTTAAAAAATCAGGCATAATTAAATCAAATTTACCAAATTAGCACTACCTCCCCAAACATAATCAATTGATCAAGTCCCTATAAGATATAATACTTAGATTTACTATGTCTTTTGGTCCAGAACTAATTCAGTGGAAATACCACACAATTATTTAATCAGAAAATTTTATACAGTATTATCCTCTCAAAATTTCAGGGTAAAGCTCTTCCCAGCTAAATGACAGCTAAACACATGCATTCGTGCATACACACACATACACACAGATACACACACACATACACACATACAATTAGGGAACCCAGATTAATATGAGATTTATTACATCAAAGTGCTTTGCATTGTTCCCATATTTTGAGATAAGTAAATTTAAGTATAAGTTATTTTTTACAGCAATACTTACATGATTTAGTTTCTTCAAAATTTCTATTTCTGTTTCAACATTGAGTGCTGGATCCTTTAATAAATAACATTAGTTTATTAATAATAATAATAGCCAATATTTAGAAAATAGTTACAGTTCAACTTAGTTGAGTAAAGGCTGCCCGAGTTCCAAAATCAGCACTATTCGTACAGCAAAATCAAGGTGTAGAGGTGGAAGAATTACATAAATCACTTAAAATCACAACATGCTTGGCAAAGAGTAAGCATTCCATAAGTGACCAGGCTCTCTGCCAAGCTCTTTATTTAAAAGGGTCACCTCATGTAAACCTCATAATCCCCAGATGAACTGGGTTCTATAATTGTTCCCATCTTACAGGTGGAGCAGCTGAGGCTCAGAGAGCGGAAGCCATTTGCTTCAGTTCCCACAGCCAGAAACAAGCGTGTTTCCACTGTTCTCAAACTTACCTGGTAAGTTCTACTTGTCTCATCCGCTATGGAATTGTTTGCATTCATAAAAATGATACAACAAACAAAAACCATGACAAAAAGATATTCAATTAAAGTGTTTAAAGTAAGTGTCAAGTCAGATTTCTAATAATAGAGCAGACATGGGTTCCAATTTCAAGTGCAAGCTGAAATATTTACTGAGACTCTAACAAGAGGAAGCTTCAGGGCAGTGAAGTTGCTCTCCATTCCAATTCCAGAAGGATGACTCGAGTTACTCAACCTCATGGGCTACACCCTCCACAAGCAAAGAGGATATAGAATTACATATTTATGTAAAATGGACTTCGGCTAAGAAACCCAGATGTTTAATTTTAAAAGCCTGCCTCTTCCTGTAAGCCGTTAAACTCATTACCAAGTCAGGGTGTGCTCTGACAACAGAGAAGTCTAAAGACTCCAACAGGATTTGAAAGATGAAATTAAGAAGGAGAAGTGTGCTCCAAGTCATTAAGAATCTGGAGGTTATTTTCTTCCCCCTAAAATGGGAAACAAACCCAGAATCACAGGGGAAAGATCTGTAACAAAGTGAACACAGAAAGGAAATTCCTCTTGCTACGTGAGAATGGCATTGTCTAGGGAGAAAAAAAAAATTGATCTTTAAAGAATGTTAAAGTATAATAGCCAGAAACAGCTGGCCACAGAGGAAAACATGATTACAGGCCACATTTTACATTACTTTGTTCATTCATGTGTTGAAAGACCAATACATTTGGCCATTTCACCAATGCAGTAAGTGTATACCACAGAAAATGTAATAAAATGAATGGCTACTATATAAAGGGACCGTTAAAATAATTTAATTAAGATTTTTTAAATATCTATAAACACTAAAGTATGCATTACCACATTAACAGGAAGAGCAAAGAATCAGACATTTTCTAAATGACCTAAATTATCTAAATGATCAAACAATGGCTAAAAAAATTATGATCAAGTTGGTGAAACAGAGATTCAATCATCAAGGAGGATCTATTAGGGAAAACTTTACACATTAATGCTTACGTGGAAAAGCAGAATGCAAAATTGCATACACAATACGATCTCAACCATCTAGAAACATGAATTCATATGAACAAGGACTAGAAGGAAAGGGAAAACTGAAAACAGCTGTGGGGTTACAGTGGCAGGGATATGGCTGGATTTTCCCCCCCCTAATTTCCTTTCATTTATTGTAAAAACACTCTTGTGACAACGTGGAAGGGAAAAAAAAAAAAAAACAAGTTCTTGCTATGTGTGTTATTACACACAATCAAATATTTTGGGAACCAAATTATCTGTAAGTGATAAGAGCTGTATATACTTAGAAATTTTCAGTGTTCTTCAATGTAAATTTCTGACATTGAAAATCACCACTCTAAAATTACCTGGGGAAGTTAAGAAGTGTGAAGTTGGGGGAGAGTATAGCTCAGTGGTAGAGTGTATGCTTAGCAGGCACAAGGTCCTGGGTTCAATCCCCAGTACCTTCATTTAAAAATATAAATTAAAAACCTAATTACCTCTGCCCCCCACTAAAAAAAACTCCAAAATTAATACATTTTTAAATTTTTTTTAAAATGTGTGAAGAACAGCCAAGCAGCCACAAACACAGGTACTTACAGCCTCTCTCTCAGAGCCGATAGCAAATTTCCTTTTGCTGATGATCTTTATGGCTACTTTCTTACATGTCTTCCTCTCGAAAGCTAGCTTCACCTCACCACAGGCACCACTACAGGGAAAAACACAGAAAGGGACTGGCTGTTAGAATGTTTTTTAATCCTGAGACCCACTATGCCTCAACTATTACAAGTTAAAGACAGTCCAACATACCATCCTTCCACTGTTTTCAGAAACCTCACCAGGGTAAAACATCAAGGGCATAAGCTGAGTCAGCTCTAAATTCCCCTCTTCGAGCTGAGTAATACAGACTTAATTTGAACTGAGTGATAGAGTTAAGTCTTACTGTCACTCCAGACTGAGATTCTCAGAGAGAGACTAACAACAAATAAGAGAGAAATGACTTACCCGAGAGGTCAGAGAAACATCAAGCACAACCAAGCCCTAGTTTTAAAAAATGAGTGCCTGAAACAAGTAACAGTAAACAGCGTCTGCAAATGAGTTACTTTCATGGATACGTTTCTCTTCCTTTCTTATTCTCTATCTTCAGTGGAAGTACATAAGCAATTGATGCTGTGAATTACACCGTAAATAAAATCACAGTACCTAAAAAAACTGAAAGTGCACCATCAACCTGTTTGCAGCAAGTTCTTGAAGATTTGCAATTAATTTGGATGCTCTAACGGAGGATTGCTACCCAGAATGCTACCCAGTACATAGTTAAAGTTAATCCTATGTACTCCACTCTCCAAATCTAGGGTCAGCCCAAGGTAAGGCTATATGAGCATCAATCACTCACTATCTGCCTGAAACAGACTTTCATAACCATTATGGGTTTTGGGGTGAAGCGAGGCAGTTGCCAAGATATATTTGTTTATTATATACTATGTATACACATAACTTAAAATTTGCCATTGTAGTCATTTTAAAGTGTACAATTCATGGGGGAGGGTATAGCTCAAAGTGGTAGAGCACATGCTCAGCATGCACGAGGTCCTGGGTTCAATCCCCAGTACCTCCTCTAAAAAATAAATAAATAAACCTAATTATTTCCCCCCCAAAAATAAAATAAAGTATACAATTCAGTGGCACTGAGGACATCCACAATATTGTGCAATCATCACCTCTATCAAGTTCCAGAAGTTTTCCATCAGCCTAAATGGAAACCCCATAGCCATTAAGTATTCACTCTCCATTTTATCATGCCCCCAGCCCTGGGAAACCTCTAATGTGCTTACTGTCTCTGGAGATTGGCCTGTTCTGAATATCTCCCATTAGTGGAATCATACAATATGTAGCCTTTTGCGTCTTGACATCTTTCACTTAGCACATTTTGAAGGTTCATCCATGCTGTAGCATGTATCAGTATGTCATTCCTTTTTATAGCTAAATAGCCTATTTTATGGATATATCACATTTTGTCTATCCATTCATTTGTTGATGGACACAGGATGTTTCCACTTTTGCACTACTAGTGAATAGAGCTGCAATGAACATTCATGCACAAGTTTTTGCTGAACATCTGTTTTCAATTTGGAGGGTATATACCTACAAGGGGAATTGCTGGGTCATACGGTAATTCTCTGTTTAACTTTTTCAGAAAACGTCAAACTATTTCCCACAGTGGCTGCACCATTTTACATTCCCATCAGCAGTGTATAAGAGGTCCATTTTCTCTGCATCCTCACAATCACTTGTCATTTTCTGTTTCTTTATTACGGCCCTCCTTGTTGGTGTGAAGTGGTATCTCATTGTGCTTTGATATGTGCTTCCCTAATGACTAAGATGGTGAGCATCTTCTCCTGTGGTTGTTGGTCATTTCTTTATCTTCTTTGGAGAAATGTCTGTTTAAATCCTTTGCCCATTTTTAAATTGGGTTATCTTTTTGTTATTGAGTTTTAAGAGTTCTTTATCTATTTTAGATACTACTCCCTTACCAGATTTTATCATTTGCAAATATTTTATGGGTTTTATTTCACTCTCCAGATAGTCGTTTTTGTTTTGTTTTGTTTTGTTTTTCAGAGAGCCTTTTTTTTTTAAGAGATACATTCATTTTATTTTTTTAAGCTATCCCATTAGTATTACTACTGTATGGGGTATTTTAATTGCATTTAATTCATTACCTAAAATTAAGTTATTTAAAGCACATTGTGTATAAATTTAATTAAAAAAAATTTTTTTCCACAATTTTACCTCCATCTGCATATGATTAGCTTGACTTTCTAATTAAACTTGCTTTTTTTATAGTCTTTTAATGTACAAAAGTTTTTAAATTTGATGAAGTCTAATTTTTCTTTTCCTTTTTTGTTGTTGTTGTTGTTGCTTATGCTTTTGGTGACATATTTAAGAAACTATTGCCAACTCCAAGATCATGAAGGGTTGTCTATGTTTTCTTCTTACAGTTGCATTGTTTTACCTCTTACATTTAGGTTCTTTTTTGTTTAATTTTAAGTTAATTTTTTGTATACGGTATTAGATAAAGTTTCGTGTAACTATAATTTTTTAAAAACTGCGCAAAACACTTTTCCAGTTCCTCTTCTGCTAATTAGTCACCTCAGAAATCTTCCGAGTCTGGCGGAGTATCTGAATAGTAAACATCCATTCCTAGGACCGTGGCATGGACATGTAAACAAGATTGAGCCAATCAGGGTTGTCTTCGAAATTAAATGCTGATGTTGGGAGTGAAACGGTTCTCTATGCTGTGGTTTCTAGAAAAAAGAAAATGCGAAGACGGGGCTCCTGGAAGCCATTTTTCCTGTCACACAGAAAAAGCAATCCTATGGGAGGGCAGCAAAGAGTAGCTGAATTAAGGGATGGAGCAAAAGCCCTGCCAACACTGTGGGAGCCCTTAGATCCAACTGCAGAGAAAGCCAAATAGATAATCAGAATTCAGAGAGTGAAATAAAGCCCTAACAGCCTCCTGGTCCAGCCATGCCAGAAGTCAGCTGTACCCCTGTGTTTCCCAGTTACAAGAGCCAGTAAATGTCTTTTGTTACCTGGCTCATTCAAGTACGTTTCTGATCCTTGCTAAAAGTAAAGGATTTGTATTGAATCCTCCCTGAAAAAAAAAAAAGAGTCCCATACATTTCTTAAGGGTGGGCACAAATTTGGCTATGAGCTTCCAAGCAGCCAATGTAGATATGGAAACACAACGAGTGACTGAATTTAATGTCCGTAAACTAAAATATCTCCCACAGGTGGTCACAAGCGTATACTGCGCCTGATTCTATATGGCAGGAGTATGGGTGATTATTACCTTCTCCGTGTTTCCAAAAATATCAATAAATAGAAGGGCTGTTGGGGGTTGGGGAGGGGTGGGAGGCTGAAGGACACTGTGTACCAGGGTAAAGGTAACCTGAATACCTTCCCAAAGGAAGTGGTTCTCAAAGTATGATCAGGCAACCCCTGAAGGATCCCAAGACTTTCAAGGTGTTCACAAAGTCAATACTAGTTTGCAAATAATACTAAGACGTTATTTGTCCTTTTCTCCTTCTCCTTCTCCTTCTTCCTTCTTCCTGCTTCCTGCTTCCTTCTTCCTGCTTCCTTCTCCTTCTCCTTCTTCTTCTTCTTCAATTTTATTTACTTTTAGGGGGTAATTAGGCTTATTTATTTATTCAGGGGAGGTACTGGGGACTGAACTCAGGACCTCATGCATGCTAAGCACATGCTCTACCACTGAGCTATACACTGCCCTTATCTGCTGTTTTCTTTCTCCTTCTCTCATGAGGTTTCAGAGTCTTCCCATGACATGTGGTATCACAAAAGCCCAAATGAAAAAGCAAGTATCAGGCTCAGGCCATCTTCTAGCAAGCCAGGTATCAAAGACATTTGCAAAACTGAAATAATCCCTCTCTTCTCACCAATCTTTTCTAAACTAATTATTTTTCATTAAAAAATGTTACTCATCTTAGCATAAGTGACTTTACCTTTTAATGAATTAATAAATATCATTATCACATCTCCATTTTAACTTCTAGTACAGTAAATATCAGTAGACTTAAGTCACATAAACAAAAGCTCTTTGGGGTCTTTAGTAATTTTTAAGAGTGTAAGAGGGCCTGAGACCAAAAATTTTTGAGAACTTTGCCCTATTCAATGGTCAACTTCATCTCACTTCCCAAGATGTCACTATTCTGAAAAGGGCAGAAATGCAATAAATATTTCTTTATGGAAGGTAATGAAAATACTCTAAAATTGATTGTGGTAAAGGTTTCACAGCTCTGTGAATATATTAAAAACCACTAAACTACACTTTCAAAGGGGTGAATGTGTGGTACTTAAATTATATCTCAATAAAACTGCTTTTAAAAAGTTGTCACTGATAAAATTTACAAGGAAAAAGTATTCGTATCAATTGATCATTTTCAAATAAATCAGTAATATACCGATCACAAATAGGTACCCTATAAATGTTATGAAAACATAATGAATGCTACAAAACCAGAACAAAAAAACTAATCAATGACAAATGTTTAGAAAGAAATTAAGTGCACTTTCCATAAGAAAAAAAGAATTACCTTCCAAGAGTTTTTGACATGATGTATTCATCTCTTAATTCCTTAGGGTAAACTGACTGATCATCTACAGTCAGATCAAAAAATACAAAAACTAGGGGGAAAAAAATGGCAGAAATAGGTCTCATTAATTCATCTGATAAAGAGAAGATAAATGGTGCCAAAAATTAGTAAGCATATAAAATACAAGACAATTGTTTTTAATTCCATTTAACATCTCACACTAAAGAAATCACTTAACTAGGCTAACCCATATTGTGAAACCCTTGGAAAATGATGGTAGATAGGTATCATTCTGAAATGAATGATCACAACATTGTAAACTGACTATACGTTAATAAAAAATAAATGAAATAAAATAAAATAAAATAAAAGGAACGAGAGTGAGAGCAGCATTGTTCTCCCCATAATGCAGGAACCTCATACATCACTGCTATTCTTATTGCTTGGCCTCAGAATAGTGACCAATTGCACTAATATAAAATATCCATGAAGATTAGCACAGACCCAGAAACAAAACGCAATTAGTTAGAATCTAGAAAATATGTTCTAGGCAAGTATGTATCCTAATAAAAATCAGGCCACAGGTCACCATACTAGTATTATCTTCTCTCAGCCATTTCTACCTTTACATATCTCGTGTTTTATACTGCAAACCATCTTGAACTTACTTGTAAAATTAAATAAATAATCTTTTCCCCCAAAAAAGCCCTTTATTTCTTCACTGGTCAGCCTGTATCTCAGAAGAAGAAAACCAAAAAAAAAAAAAAAAAAAAAAAAAAACTACTCATTTCATAATATAACTACCCATTGGGCCAAGCCCACAATCAGTTATCAAACATTCCAATTCTACAAAGTCATCAGTGGTAAATTTGCAACTGCCTATAATATCTAGAAAGAGTAAAATCTGTTAAGACCCTTGAGTTTCTCAGAGTTCAGGTGACAGGTCTTGACCTCCCTGGAGTAACCTAGATAGAGATCCAGTCTCTGGCACAAATCTTTACCACCTCAGCACGCTTCAATCCAGGCTGGTCCACGTGAGGCAGACAATGGTCTAATGAATGAGACCTGCTGGCCACCTAGGATACAGCCATTCCTTTTTCCTTGTGGATATTTATGAACCTGGATGTTCCAGTGGGACCCGAGAATCTGAGAATTTGAGGGGGTCTGGAGATGTACTTTCCCAAATGCCAATGTCTACTTCACGGTCTGCCAACTCAGGTACCTCCACAAGCCAGGAAGGTCACACACACACAGGTAAAGGCTGGGGGGAAAGGAAGACATTAAACAGTAGGGACTCGAACGAGAAACACATCGCCCATCTTAAGAAGGCAGCCTATACTCAGCACCTGCAAATCCTCGACTTACAAGGTTATAGGCTCAGTGTGGCCAGATATTCCAACTTTTCAAAGAAATCTGGGTTTTCACATTAAAGCACAAACATCGGCAAAGGCCTAATAAAATGTCATAGGCTGAATGCAGTCTGCAGAGTACCAGCTGGACCTGCTTCAATCATGGCCAGATTCAATCCAATCCACATAACACTTTGGCTCAAATTAGAAAAGGTGCCACTTGGATAGACCAGTTAGAAAAAGATGGCACACTGCTTGTCAGGTAGAGGACAGGCCAAATTTCAGTACCCAGGTGCTGGCCAGGTGCTCTCAAACAGTAAAAGCCTATGCAGCTGCCCTGACTATAATTATCAGACAGGAAATAAAATAGTCAGAAAACAGGGAAAACTAAGTCAATCATAAAATGCACTTCAGGATGCCCAGAATAGTTGCAATTCCGAGATGCCAGGGACAGGCTACATGAGCATCACCTGAGCAGGATTTTTTAAATCCCTGGAACTACTGGATCAGGATCTGTGGGACAGTGTCTATGAGAATCTATAGTTTTAAGATGTTACCCACACAAATACATACCATTCCGAGTCAATCAACTCTGAGATAGTTTTGGGAAGTTCTGTGGGTTTTGTTTTATTTTGTTTTTTAATTAAAGAAACAAGAGTATTTCTCTTGCCCAAGGTTTGAAAATCACCAAGAGCTTTGCTGAACTCTGTAGTTTGTTTGTTTGTATTCACACTGAATGACAATTGTTCCTTTTAGATGTGACATTCATGACGTTTTAGGAATGGATGCTTATAAAACACTATCTGATGATGATGATAAACATCTCCACTTGCAGGGGATCATTATGTCATATTTAAAAAGGTGAAAGTCTAAACTGAAATTACAGAAAAATCCACAGCCTAATGCT